CTTCTCTCCCTCGCTCCTTCTCTCCCTCTCCCTCTCCTCTCCCTCGCTCCTTCTCTCCCTCTCTCCTTCTCTCCCTTGCTCCCTCCTTCCCTCCCTGTGAAATTATTTTTCCAAGACATCTACCAAACAAAAATAGTGTTTCTGTGCAGGAAGANGTGTGTGTGTGTGTGTGTGTGTGTGTGTGTGTGTGTGTGTGTGTGTGTGTGTGTGTGTGTAGAGGAGAGAAAAGAGGCTAAGAACTTAAATATGATAATACCAAGGTCAAGAGTTCAGATCCCTAGACCAGCCAGCTGCCGAAAAACAACAGCAAAAAAAGATAAATGAGGAGAAAATGGATATGTGCTTCTAGAACTGTGATATGAATTTTTTTCTTCTGATGACAAATCTCACTAGAACAAAATAAAAATTAACCTGGAAAGAATTTGTTTTTAATCAGTGTGGTTTGCAACAAAGAGAGATATTTACCAAAAGAAAGGCAAGAACAGTGAAGTAATGTGATTCCATAACTAAAAGTATATCCATCCCCCAAATTTCTTCTTAAAATGTCTCTACTTCCTGACATTTGAGTAGAGGAATGAAACAAGAAAACTTTAGCCTCTTTTACCTGTCCAGTTTTTAATCTTAGATTTTGACATGTGGGATGAGTTTATTGAGTCTGTCCTGTACTCTTCTGCTATAATAACTGCTCAGAATTTCAAGGATTATGTTTTCCTACTGTAAGGAATATATTTCCCTCCACTTAGATGAAGTATTTTGTTCTAATGAACACAGGTTTTTTAATATTGCAATGCTAGTTACTTTGGTTAAGACTTAAAATACCATACAGGATTTTTTCAAATAAGAAAATATTATGGTGAATAATAGATTATTTTGCAAAGGCCAGTTAACTCAGTTGGTTAGAGCATGGTGCTGATAACACCAAGATCCAGGGTTCAGTCCCTGTACTGGCCAGCCACCAAAAAGTATATATTATTTTGCAATGTATCTGAATATTATTATTTTAAAAATCTTTTTAGTTCTTCTGGGGGAAGAGCAGAACTATCATTTAGCTTTTTGGAGTCCTTAGTACTCCTTAATACCTAAGGAACAATAAATGATTATTTTAATTCCTTTTATAAGAGCAAACTTCTCTAGTAATCCATAAATTTTGTTTGTCCTGCTTTATAACTCTTGAATGTAGTAACTTTCTATAAATTATAATAAAATTTGTTATGCTATAAGTACTCTATCTATAGTGATAGGGTATGTAACTTATCAGAACTGTTATTTCAGAAAGATTTAAAACTAGTATATTTTTTAAATCTTCGGTAGATTTTTTTCAAGTTATGATAATGCTTAATTTTCTTGCATAGTACTTCACACTTTAAAGCACTTAGTGTATATTATCTGATTTAATTCCTAAAATCTTGAGATAGGGGAATTACTGCACCCATTGTGTAATTGTCATATTTGGCGAATTTAATAAGTAATAGTTGCCTAAAACAGTAAGTAGCAGCTGGAATTTGTTTTGTTTTGTTTTGTTTTGTTTTTGGCGACTGGCCAGTACAGGGATCCAAACCCTTGACCTTGATGTTATAAGGCTGTGCTCTAACAAGCTGAGCAAACTGGCCAGCCCTATAGCTGGTATTTAAACCCAAGTCTTATTGGCTTGAAGTTCAGTGTTTTTTACATTCTTTTGCTTTCCTTCTTAAGTATAAATTTATTTATATGATTAAGGAAACTAAAATGTTTAATGCCTGCTATTTATCAGGACTTCTGGGAGGTGATTCGCGTTGGTTATCTCATTGCCAGAACAGTCCTGTGAGGTAGTTATCCACATTTCATAGATGAGAGAACTGTGTAAAAGGTAAAATACTTACCTAAGGCCTTAAATTTGAAACCAACCTCTGTAAAGTCAAAGCACATTCCCTGTACCAGTGTGGAAGAAGAAAAAGAAAACCGAAATCCATTTACGTTTCTGAAAGGAAAGAATCTTAATTTCTTTACTAAACTAAGGCCATGTAATATATTTGCTATGTTCCATTGTATCATAGTGACATACTTTGTACAGGCATGTCACTTGATGTACATCCAGATGTAGCTTAGGGTAACAAACATTTCTCATTCCTTGGGTAAGCAACATTAGTGAGTAATATAAACATTTTAACCACTTTTGAAATAATAAGGGGGAAACCCCCTCACACAGATTTTTCTGTACTCTAAAGCAAATCTGTCTCATCTGCTTTTCTTTCTTCCCTTTTTCCTCACTTAAAATCATACAATTTTCTTTGATAAATGTTGTTATTTTTATTGATAACTTGCTATCTGTTAACCTGCCCCTAAAAAATTTAAATCAGTTCACCTACAATGTTAGTTCAGGATTTCCCCTTCCACTTGACAGGTTCAAGTCCTCTGCCTGTAGAAGGATCCTTAGAGATACTGTTTTTCTCCCAAAGTATAAAGAAAGTTAATATACTCATTTATATTACTTCATGTACCACATAACTTACTGTTTGTTGCCTCTGTACCTTTCCATCCACCAACACACACATATACCCAGAATTACAAGCTCCTGAAGGGCAGAGATTTTTTTTTTGTAAATATAAAAAAGATTAAATTTTATTAATTAAAACATGAGATCTATGATACATTGTGAATGAGGGCAGAGATTTTTGTCTCTTGGTTCACTGAGGTATTCTGATGCCTAGAATAGCATCTGGCATGTAGTAGGCACTCAGTAAATATTTAATAACTGAATCTGTCTGAGATTCTTCTTTCCAATGTAGGACCTTTCATTTATAGATGGTTTCTTTTTTGTTCATTTTGGCACCATTACTTCCCCCTACCCATATCTTTTTTTTTTTTCTTCCTTCTCTACCCTTTCCCTTGTTTCCTCTGTGCACGAGGTTGAGAAGGCATTTTGGTGGTCTTTGCCTTTTGTTTGGTAGAATCCCCCACTCATACCTCCAGCCAGAAAGCTTCTGAGACATATGTTCTTAAATGTCTGACACATTTTATATTTTGCTCAGCAGAGTGAATTTTCGAGCTGTTACATATAAAGAGAAAATTTTGTTTTGTTTTCGAGCAATGAAATTGTGCAATTATCTGAGCATTGGCTTATTGTGGATGTTAGGAAATGATGGTAGGGAAGGCTCATGGTGGTGAAATCACTGAGAGGCAAAACCATTAGCTCTGTTAATTAGTAAAAGATTTATAGCTCTAAATAACTGGCTTTTGGTATATATCTCCATATATTAGTGCTTTTCCCTCTTAATTGTCTGTAACAATTGTCTTGTTAGCTTCATATATTCAAGCACCATTTGTGTAACATTGCCTTATTAATTAGTCTTCCACCTGAAATAGTATGCTTTAGTCTAAACTACCCACTTTCCTGAGATTCATAATGAATGGGTAAAAAGACTATTGTTATTTATTTTATTTGCTTCCCCTTCCCTTTTTCCCTAGGCACAGCTCTAGTAATTACTTTCTAGAAGCTAAAGTAATTATGTAACAAGCAATAACAGAGCACTAAAGAGTTTGTTATTAGGAATTTGGAGAGAGAATCCAGAATTATTCATATTTAATGAAAGAATTATTATCCAGCCTTTAAATTTATTTTGGGGGGGCAAGGGGCTGCAGCTGGCTGGTCCAGAGATCTGAACTCATGACCCTGGTATTACAAGGCTGTGCTCTAAACAACTGAGCCAACTGGCCAACCCTCTCAGCCTTTATATCTAAACTTTAAATAGCACCTTTCTGAATCTCTAATCAATCATACAATTAAATGTGACCTTTCCTTTCTCTGAACTTCTATGACACATTGTTTTGTGGGTCTGTTTGTTTGTTTGTTTGTTTTACCATTAATGGCATTTACAGTTTTATGTTTATGTGTATATGTGCACATACACTTTTTTTTTTTTTTTTTTTTGATAGCTGGTCAGTATGGGGATCCAAACCCTTGACCTTGATGTTATCAGCACCACACTAACCAAATGAGCTGACTGACCAGCCCCTAATTTTTAGATATATTTTTTATACTTACCATTTTTCAGTAAACTTCTTCAGGGCTTTGAAGAAATATCCTCAGATATGTGTTCCCTGAAAACTTTTAACAGTGCCTTATAATTATTCATAGTAATTACTTTATGTTAACATTTGTTGAGTTGTGTTGAGAATATTTGCTACCTGTTAGCTGTAAAGGCATCTTTACTTTTGAGTATGGTAAGATATCAACATAAGTAATGAAGAAAGTACCTCTTTAATACCAAACTGAAAATATCCTGGGTCTGCTAAGGATACTTTAGCTCCAAGCCTGAAAGGCCAAGCTCATTCAAGATCTGAGAATGGAATTTTCATAGTATCTCTATGAAAACCTTCCATGAAAGACATGCAGTCTTTTCAAGATCCTCTGGTTTAGAGCTAGCCCAAACCCTTGTCATCTGGGTAATCATCTTTGATTTAAGTGGTGAGGGCTATATGAGAACCCATTGACTTCAGTTATACACACGATTCTAAGATACATAGAACATGTGAAAGTCCACTATTCCCTCCCAGTCTTGGGTTTCATGACTCATATTTTCCCACAGACATTGTCATGTATCTAGTAAGACTAGAGCTGTGCCTAGGGAAAAACATCTTTAAAATACAAAGTAGGTAGCATTTGAATTAAATGATGTGTTTTACTTTATCTTAAAAGAAATTTTAAAATTGCAGTTTCGGATGGAAAGAGGTATTTTTTCATTTAATAGTACAACTGCCCCCTGTTAGCTGTAAAGGCATCTTTACTTTTGAGTATGGTAAGATATCAACATAAGTAATGAAGAAAGTACCTCTTTAATACCAAACTGAAAATATCCTGGGTCTGCTAAGGATACTTTAGCTCCAAGCCTGAAAGGCCAAGCTCATTCAAGATCTGAGAATGGAACTTTCATAGTATCTCTATGAAAACCTTCCATGAAAGACATGCAGTCTTTTCAAGATCCTCTGGTTTAGAGCTAGCCCAAACCCTTGTCATCTGGGTAATCACCTTTGATTTAAGTGGTGAGGGCTATATGAGAACCCATTGACTTCAGTTATACACACGATTCTAAGATACATAGAACATGTGAAAGTCCACTATTCCCTCCCAGTCTTGGGTTTCATGACTCATATTTTCCCACAGACATTGTCATGTATCTAGTAAGACTAGAGCTGTGCCTAGGGAAAAACATCTTTAAAATACAAAGTAGGTAGCATTTGAATTAAATGATGTGTTTTACTTTATCTTAAAAGAAATTTTAAAATTGCAGTTTCGGAACCTTTTATCAGAAGGTTCCACAATTAGACTGTTACTAGAATTGTGAATTTATATGTATGTATTTTGATTATTAAATATTAATTTTAACTGGTGTTTTCGTTACAGAAAATTTTTGTTATAATAACATTCAGCAAGCACATAGTGGAACAGATGGTGGCTTTCATTGGGTGAGTAATTCTTTAAGGACTCATATTAATATCATCACTGTTTGAATGGGAGTAAATTTGTGGGAGATTGAATTGGGATAGGATTTTCAAGATAGCTCTTTATTTTTTGACAAGCAAAAATCTTTTGCCCTTTAATTAGTTAAATTGAAGAAGACCTTTTTGTCCTATAGCAGGGAAGGATGAAGCTCATACATTAATTGTAAGCCAAACATTTCTCAAGTCATAATTCTTGATTTAAAAGAAGCTTTGGGGTTTGAGTCTATAGCCCCTCCAAAGAAATCAGAAATTGTCTTTAAATAAAAGACATGTGTGTATCATTACAGTTTAATGGGGCTTTCATACAATACTGTGACTTTTGGCCAAAATAAGATGCCAGATACAGTTGCATTTAATTTAAATATAAATCTTTACATAAAATTTTAGTATTTCATTAAATAAGGTATGATAAGATGGTATAGTATTACCAAAATACGTCCAGTATAAACCTATTACTTCACTAGAGAAAAATTAGGTCATTTAAAAGGCTACAGTATCCAATTCTTTTATTTTCATGTTTAGTTTTAAGAAGTGAATAAAGCAGTTTTAACATGCAGTTTAAATGATAATATCACAAAATTGTGGAGCTCACTTTAATGAAACAGTAAACACAAGACCCATTTTGTTTGGTTAATCAAATTAACTTTCAACTGGATTATGAATACTGTCAGGTATTAAATTGATATAAAACCAAAAATTGTTGGGGTTTTGGTTTATCTTTCATTATGATTTTTTTATTCATTGTTTACAGGAAAGAGGTATTTTTT